TTTCTTTTCTTTTCTTTTCTTTTCTTTTCTTTTCTTTTCTTTTCTTTTCTTTTCTTTTCTTTTCTTTTCTTTTCTTTTCTTTTCTTTTCTTTTCTTTTCTTTTCTTTTCTTTTCTTTTCTTTTCTTTTCTTTTTTTCCCTTTCCCTTTCCCTTTCTTTCTTTTCTTTTCTTTTCTTTTCTTTTCTTTTCTTTTCTTTTCTTTTCTTTTCTTTTCTTTTCTTTTCTTTTCTTTTCTTTTCTTTTCTTTTCTTTTCTTTTCTGATGTCTTTTCTGATGTCTTTTCTGATGTCTTTTCTGAGCTGTGCTCAGGAACTGCAGACGTGTACATAACATATCTGTGTCAAAATTATGTAAGGGCTTCATTAATATAAAACTTGCACAGCTGTAAGAACACTTACAATCTCTTCACGTCTTATGCAATTGCATAGAAGCACGCAAAGAAAGTTAAGTTAAAAAAAAAAAAAGGAGATGGATTAAATTTGTGCTAAATAAACAAGAAAAAGACATGAAACCCAATGCCTAAATGCTCTTCCTTTTAAAGGCACAGCTGGCATAAAACAGCTGAATGTCAGATTTAGCTGCTCTGAGTCTAATTACAACCATACCTTTGTTCGAATATGCCCTTTGGTATATCACTTTTCTCTGAAAGGGCTCGAACAAGAGCTAACTCCCCTGTGCCGCGGCGCACGAGGCACTGCCGAGCATTACCGCGTCCATGTGGAATGCATTGAGCCGCGGCGCTTTCCAAACACGGGGCTCCGCTCCGGGCTCTGGCCTTCCTGGAACAGGCTCCTGATTTTCATCTCCAAGACCTTCAGCCTCAAAACTGTCTTGATAAGGAACTGGATGACACTTACCGGGAAAGAAGCTGAAATCGGAGCAATGTCAGGAGTTCTCTAATCCAGCAAATCACTTCTGTTGCGGAAATGAGCAGCCAAAGTGATTTCTTTTTTTTTTTTTGCTCTGGACCAGATCAAATGATGCAGAAAAATCAAAGAGTGTTTTAGTGAGTTAAATCAGGACCAGTTGCTCCGTGTTTAATGGCGAGGTTGGCAAAGAGTCATAGTGCTTCTGTAGCTACGATGGCCTAAAATAATCAAGACAAGGCTTGTAGGGAATTTTTTTTTTTAATCAACTAATAAAGCTGAAAAAAACCAGACAAACTTTTAGGCTTTATTAAGCCCTTCTTCGGGACAGGAAAAGAACTCGTAACTTCACACACAGTTGCTTTGAGCTTAACTCGGTTGTGTTGGTCAGCCGGGTGCTTCCAGGGAAAAGGCGGCTGAGACCCGTGGAGCAGAGACAAGTGCTGGCCGAGAGAGAGAGAATCGTCTCAATAGCCCCAGGTTACGGCTGTGGCCGCTTTTATTGGCATGAAGGTGTCGGGTGTTGCCAGCTGAATCTCCAGCTGGAAACGGCACTCGCGAATTGTTTCGAACAGCGCACGAGAGCCGCGCCGAACCTCGCAGTCT